GGAACAGCTGGCTTGATTCTATCAAAAAACCCACATGATTTTGGGTGCATTTATTTCAATGTCTAACACAATCCTTGAAATCATACGATTTAATGAAGGATTTATAACAAGAATTAGAAGTGTGTGAACAGCTAGTGGAAAAGTGTGAACATTTTCTCAAATAATGTATCAGTAATGGAGAGCTCTGTCTTTCTCAATTTGGCATGTGAGGAACCCACCTAGTACCTCTAAATTTTAAGTAGTATCTCATAATACTTGTTACATTTCAAGCTTTCAAAAATGCGTAGTCTTTTGGTATTTTGTTAGTAAAAATCTTGTTAGATGTTTAGCTCCATTATGAAAACTACGCTAAATATGAAGCAAATTATTGACACATTTACTCTTGGTACACACAGCTCATAAACAATAAGTAATAAAGAACAGATGTGATGGAAATTTAGCTTTGTGAGTCTATTCAGTAGAATAATTCTCCAAACATTACCTTTTTAGTCTGCTTTAGTGTTGTTAGCTGCAGCGAAAACAAAAAAAAAATGTTCCTTTTGTTGTTATTAAGTAGGGACGTGATCACCCATTTTGGCTTTTCCACATTTTCTGCATATGATGCCAGTCATCACAGCCAAGGAGGCCCTCAGACACTGCCCATTATCTGTTGCACTCCTGGACCAAAATAACAAATAATATGCCTGGAGGTGCTGTGTTTTGTGACTGCTAGTTTTCCCGCATGGCATATGCCTAGATAGGCTCAGATGAGAGGTGATTGCACAAAACTGTGATTGTGAGATGACTTAGCAGAACCCGTGATGATGTCCTAATGGCCTCCTGCGGAGGGGAGCAGGGGTAATTGTTCGTCAGGGGAAGGCGCACATCTGTACGGAGGCATCCGCGGCAAACGGAGTAGCCATGTGGAAAAAGGAAAGCGGGAGCCACTGTGCAGCAAGGCAGCATCCCAGCCTCATAAAAGGAATAACGAGGAGAGGGGGGAAATGAAATGAGATGTTATATTACCAAGTTAAAAAGCAGGTTACTGGTGTGCTCTGGGTTAAAATTAAAATAGGTTGTCTCAACACAATATTATTTGCTTAAAACTGAGAGATGAAATTCTGCAACTCCTAGTAAGGAAAGTTAAGGCAACAGATCTGGGAAATGAGGATGCATTTCCCCACTGGAAAAGTGGGCCCAGAGCAGAGAGTCTTCCCTGGGTGTTCCTCCTCATAGTAAGGTGGTTTTGTTGCCAACAAACATTTTCTTCCAAAGTTTTCTTCTTCTAGTATCTTAATTTTCTGTTTCAAATAATTACATCCTACGTGATCGGCGCATAGAAAAATGACATCCACACAACATCCCTTCTGGAGCAAAGCTATTGGATTTGAGGAATGAGAAACTATCAGYGTCAAGCCAGGCAATTAGGGCATCAGTCACATCAGTAGGAACTTGCATTTAATGTCAACTGCCCTAATCGCAACAGAAGGAGCATGTCCTACAAATAAACCAACTGATTATACTGACCTACAAGTGAAAAGAAAACATCAAAATTCTTAAGTAACGTAAAATCATCTGTACTCGTAAACCATTCATTATGCTTTACCAATAGGTATCCAGAAAAAGAGTCACACAAAATAAGAGCTACAAAGAGTATCCCTGCAGTTCCACATAGAACTCAGAAAAGCAGTAGGGTTGATTTTTTGTTTGTTTTTTTTCCTTTTTTCTTCCTTTTTTAAAGGATGCTTTCTAAAATCCTTCCTATATAAAATAAACTGAATATTAAGCGAGTTCAAACCACCTACTAATCAGATGAATTTGCAATCCAAAATGCATTCAATTTAGAAGTAATTACATGAAATTTGCAAACCAAGCTGGACAAATAACATTTTTTTTGTTTTGATTTGCAAAACTTGGGCCAAAGAGAACTGTAATAATATTTCAAGAAATAAACCATAACACAAATCAAAACAGCAATTACTTTGCATCAAAGTACAGTGAATTGCTTCATTTCATTTTCAAGTAATTTAACTCATTTTAGGACTTTTTTTTTCTCCCAAATGTAGGTTCATTTTAACTCAAGATGCTCCTCTGAGAAGCTAATTTTACTCAAAAATGTTCAAACAAAACATTTCAACAACTTATGAAATTTATCAGTCTTTCCATATTCCCATTTAATATGCTTTTTGCCAAAATTACTCACTGCGGTTAATCTATATCTTCAAATACTTCTAATCCCTCCAGAAATGCTACTTTTCAGGAGCTTATTTTTCATAAAGTAGATGTTCTATTACAGTTCTAATACAGTTCTATTCACAAGCATTTAGAGGAAAGTTTGGAGTCTAAGAATCTCTATTCAAAAATATGCCACGTCTTGCCAAAAGCTAAGTACAAGTTCTTACTTTGGCACAGGGCATTCTGCTTTGGAAATTAATGGAGTTTTGGGCACTGTGTCATGCAGCAAATGGTAGTTACGTGGCACACTGGCATGCATTTCTCTCCAAAAAAAATCTCACGCAGGCATCTTACAGGAGCCAGGTAAATAGCTGGTGAAAACACTGACGTGATTGACCATCAGATGAGGACAGGAAAATCCTTTCATAGCCCTTCTACTCACATTAGAGTGTTATTTCTTGAAAGGAGAAAAAGGATGCCAGTTGTTCTAGTAACTGCATTTACTCATCTTAGAGAAAAATATAGGTCACAAACATGGCAGCCACATATAAGTCCTGGTCATACATTTCTCCTGAAGCTGTTTTAATAGGAAATTAGACTTTTGACTAAACCAAATGGTCATGATTAAGTACCTATTCACCACAGAAAACTGCAAGTTTAATTGACAAACACTAATTTTTCTGAAAACTTTTTTTTTCTGTTTTCCTGCCACAAACCGTCATGAAGGACGGTTTGCTGTAGGTAGATTGATGATAAACAACAAGCAAATGATCTTGGACAACATATGAATATGTGCTGCTTTTATGTGAAAAAATAGAGGGATTCATTTTTTGGGGGTGAACTGCCCACATTTCCCACGAGCTCACCAGAATTCCCGAGCACATTAAATCTCAGAGCACACCACGAGGCAATGGTAGCAAAACTGGCCATACTGATGTTCTCTTCGGGCTGCCTGAGCAAAGGGAATCCACTTACCCCACAAAAAGACAAGCTCCTCAAGAGTTGTAAAGAGAAAAAAAAACATTCAAAGGGAGAAGGGAAAGACCTAAGACAACATTTAGGCTTGACATGTTGATTCTGTGCTCTCCTCCACTTTACAAACCTATCTAGCTTTATGGTGACTGCAGAGTCCAATTTAAAGTTTATGCTAAAATCAACATTCATAGAAAATGCAATACGCAAAATTTCTTTTCCACATATAACAATCTACACATTTTCATATATCTAATATATTCCAGGTTTAAATAACTTGAGACACTAGGAATTTTTTTCTGTGATGTTGTAAGCACAGATAAAGCTCATCTTTTCATATGTCATTAGAAAATAAGAAAAGTTTTTAAAAACTATTTAAGTGACAGAGCAGTTAAAATCACCATTTTCCTCATGGAGTTTTTACCACAGATCTTACAAATATCATATAAAACAGTTTTATTACTCCACTTATAGGCTTTTATGGTTTTTAATTATTAAAATTGTACTTCTGAATAAGTGTCCTTCTGTTGTAACAGTAAAGAGAATTTGCATTTAATTGTCAGGATAGCAGCATGTGCTTTAAAACTGGAGAACTTTTAAATATTTTAAATAGTACTTTAATCTTACTGGTTTTAAAAATGATAAAGGTCAACCAAAAAGTAAACTGGAAGCATTTAGCACTGTTTCTCAGGCGACACATGTTGTTTTTCTGTGATTCATCCTACAGATGACATCAAAATGAGATAAGACTTTGTCAAGCTACCTTTATCCTGGAAGCAGAAGAAAGAGTGGGCATTTTGCATCCTCACACACTCACGAGCTCTTGCACACCGAATAGCATGAGAAGCTGCTGTTCAATCATCACCCACCTTCCACTGAGAATTTTTTTCTACTACGTGGAATACTTCTACTAACTCATTCAAATTTGTTTGGATTACAGGAAATATGCCAAGGACAGTAATAGCAAGGAAAGATTTTTTTTTACCTCAGAGATTCTGTTGCATCATGCTAGTCCATTAAATATCACTAAAGACAATTAATGAAGTAGAAAGGAGCAAAACTCGACCTGCAAAATCTGTCATAACAGTGATTAATAAACAAGGAAAAAAAGTTTGGGTTTCAGTTGCTACATAGCCGCAGGAAAATATGGCTTTACATCTTAAAAACTTACAGAATTGTTGCACGTAAATTCAAATGATATGAACTGCAGTAGAAGCAAAGAAGCAAAGTCATAAAAAAAAAGTCTACCTGGATGACTCAATGATTTTAAAATTATATTAAGGGCACATGAAGAGCATTGAATCTAGAACTGGTAAAAGAACAAATCTTACTGGACTCTGGAAATTATCTGAAAGGAACAGCAGAAGAAAATCTTATTATCTCTAGAATGTGATGCCCAAAATATTTTATATTTAAAAAAGAATGGAAGATGATACTGAAAATAATTGTTGAAATTACTAGATAATTAGTGTAAATTCCTACTGCTAATAGAACCAGGCTGAGTCAATGTCATGATTTCTTTTGCATGTGAAGTAATAAAACAAGATACAGCTAGTCTTGGAACACAATACAGAATTGTAGCTGGTACACAGATGTCTCCACCACCATTAAGAGCCAAAAGGTATAGGAACTTTACGTGGGGTTCTCAAGTGGGCTGCGACAATAGCACCCTTTRGACATCTATCACTCTTTGCAGAACTGGCCAGGGCTGCACACTGTTGTCACTCTTACTGCTCCCTCAGGCCAACCTCTTTTCTCAGGAGAGCGTGTAATTTCCAGTAGTAGCATGAGAATTGCTTTTGAAATGTTGAAGAGGCAAGTGCTGGCCTTAAAGAGTTACCAAGAAAACCCTGYGCAGCATCCAAATCACTCACCTGAAAGTCTGAATACGGAAAGGAAGGAATTGAAGGTTCCAGGCAACTATCCTGAAGTAGTGTTCTCATGCTCTGCAGTTTTCCTCCTCATCTAAGGAAGTTTAGATAGGACTGGTACACTCCTGAGGAAGGTTTTTCTACAAATTAGCTTTTTCTGGAAAAATAAATGGAGCATTTTCCAGTCATTTCCACTGTCGACCTATTCTTGCTTTCCATCTGGCAGACATGCCTGAAAAACAGAATAAACAGAAAAACATTTATTTGTCATGTTTTACTTCAGTCTGATTTAACTTCATGCTGCAGTACTTTTCTGCCTCTTTTCTATCCCCAATCACTTGATTACTGAGTTGCATCATTGCTGAACCCCAGCCCATACAAAACGAGGGAACACAATGACAGCCAAGGCAACATAAACAGCTGCTTGTCTAGACGTATTAGTAGTGTCCTGAAACCCTGGCAGCCTAGTGACATAATTTTACAAAATTTGCACTGCTATTCTTGAAATGTTTCATTGTGATTATGTAAATCTATTCATTTATTTTCACTGGAAAACATAAAAATGCAGGCAAATGAAATCATGAATCATTTCCCCCTAGTTCCTAACTAACAGTATGATTCAAAGCGAGGTATCTGAAAGCTTTTTTTCCTCTAATAAAACACTCCCAAGAATAGCATATTCCATATCATGAAGGGACAAATTAATAATAGTGCTAAAAAATAATTATTTTCTTTTTGTTATATATACTTATTCTGTTGTGGCAATTAATCAGTTATTTACTTATAATCCATTAAGTTATTTGGAAGACTTATTTGGAAGACTTGTTTCATATTCCACCTCTGATTTAATTAGAAGACAACATTCAGTATGCAGAAAAAAAAGTTTAACTTTTTATTTAMATTCCTAATAAGAGTTTATCATTTCATTTCTTTCCTTGCTTATATCCACTTCCAAGTGGTAATTGATGGTTTCACTCAAAGTGTGCATATAAACTCCACTATATATGGACTGGATTACCACCAATGACCCTAGGTATTCAAATATCACACACAATCATTTTGCTTAGTTACATTCTGGCAAAGTTTCTCATATCTAACGATTTTTTTTTTTTTTAATAAAAAGAAAAAAGATAATGACTTACCCTAGCCAGAAAAGACACCTAGCAGTCAAATAGTCAAATCATCTGTAGCTAAAGCAAGGAAGAAGCTTTTAAGTCATGAGCTTGAACTTGGGTGCTTTGTCCTTCYTTGTCCTGCCCACTTGTATTTTTGAGTGCTTTTTCAGTCATAACTATAATGATAGGTTGTCCGTGATCCAACTGTAAGTTATCTGTACCTCAGTTTGCTCTTACCCCTTTGAGCGTATGGCACCTTTGACAACTGAGCATAGGATTCCGAGTCTCAAGAGCATTTAATGGCCAGAGACATTTTGACTTTCCTGGCTATTCAAAATGAGGCTTATTGGAAGTCAAGCTGAATAAAGAGATCTGAATTTGACCCCCCTGTTTTTGTCACTTTAGTATTTGGCATTTCTGTGGCCTAAAAAGACTAGGAAATTCATTTAAGAACTAATGAAGAGCTATTTACCTCCTAAATCTTCTTCCCTTGAGTAATGAAATAATTACCCTCCCATAATCATGGAAATATTCAACTTGAATGTTAAATTGAGCTGTTGTGAAAAGTGGTAGTGATGTTACATAGGTGATCACCATGGTAACATTTGAAAACTGCACTGTTGTCAAGCCAAGAAGACAATTTTGTTTCCCATAAGAATAGAACAAGAGACCAGCCTGAACTCTTCCAAGATCCCATAACGATAAGTAAAAGTGAACATTTATTTGTGTTTTTTCCATTGGAATGAAGGCTGAAAAGAGAGAGACAGAGAAAGAAGAAAAAAAAGCACATTGTCCATAAACTCAATTACTTTATATACTGCAATATTACTGTTTGTTAATTTTCTTTTGTTTACTCTCTGTACATTACTCAAGGCAAATCCCAAAGGAACAGCATAGTGGGACTAGAAGGAGAAACTGAAAGATTTTATTTACATAAATTAGATAATTAGACATCCTGTGAACTATTAGAGAAGTTACTTACCTTTTAAACTGTGGCTCTTCTATAGAAGAAGCCCACACTTTCTGCTCTTTCTCTCCCATTCTACGTAGTAGAGTGTTATGTCTTAGCATCCATTAAAAACAAAGAGATATAAGCCACTTGTACTGCATATGAACTCCAGTCAGAACCAAAGACCTTACTGTCCACAGCTGCCTMTAGGTAACATCAAGCATGGGATGGGTCAGGACTCATGCATTTCCATCATGTGGTCTAAAGCTCCCTGCCACCCAACAGCTACAGTGACAAACTGGATCCCAGCAAAAAGCCCCCCAAATTCTTCCCCAGTGAAATGGAAGCAGAGGCCACTGCTGCAAATGATTCTCCCTGCTGCTTTGCACAGAAGGAGAAGACACAGATAGTGCCAAAGGAAGTAGGGCTCAAGATCACTCTGACCGATGYAGAGAGGTGCCGAAGCAGAAACAGCATGTGGTACCAACTGAAAAATAGATGCTGCAGCCAAGTACAGCTAAGGACAACTCGCAGACTTTTAGACTGTTCCAAAGGCAGAGATCAGTGAGCAACACTAGGCTTTGAGCAGCGTTTCTTTCTTCCATGGACAGCAGGGGCATCTGACTAATACAAGATTGCCTACAGTTCACTCTTAGAGACTTCAGAAGCTGTGAGAGGCCTCTTTATTCCCAGAGAGCTTGGGATAACCACTTTAACAGATGACATGCTTGTAGTAGACTATGCTTGTGTGAAAGAAACAGTAGATTCCTTCCCTGGAAGGACTTCTGAGTCATATGCCCCTTTCTGCAACTCTTCCATCAAAGCAATTTTAAATGTGCTTGCCAGTCTGTGGGTCAGCTGTCCTTCTCAGAAGCCCTTCTATTTCCATAAACATGGCACTTTCAAGTGACAGACTTTTTTTGTTTGTTTGTTTCCCTTGAGTGGGATCATACAGATTATCCTCTCATGACCCACTCCCGGAATTGCTTTCCGGAACCCTCCTGAGGAGAGCCAGGATACCAAAGGGGGCTGAACATGCCAATGGGTTTGTCCCTTCCAGAGGCTGTCAGTAAATCTGCGGAGACAAGAAACAGCTCCTTCAAAACAAAAACAATAGGTCTTTGCCAAAGAACACACAATTTAAGAAAATGTATCCAAAGCACAGAAAAGTGTTATCTAAATACTTCATTACCTCAGCATGGTCACTTTATTCCAAGTGAAGAGGATCCAGCTCCTCCCAGCCTCTCCTGAAAGACACAAYTATCCTGCTTACAATACTCTCCCTTGCTCTCCATGCAAGATTCTGCTTGCTGACTAGGCCTTATTTCCCTTGATCTAAAGTTAAGCTAGGCCTGAGAAAAATAAGTCTAGTCCAGGTAAAGATTTTTTAGGTCGGGGGAGACAAAGCACAGGTATTCATTAATATCCTCCCCATTGTGCTGTCCTAGAATATCAGGATTATCTAGAATGCACGCTTTGGTTTTTTTTCTCTTCTCCTTAGTTTCTCTCACAATCTGTTCAATTTAACTTTGCCTTGGCTTATACGTAGAGGCAACTTGTTTACTTTTTGCTTATCAGAAGAAAAGCTTGTGGCCCTTTTACTTAAGAGATATGTTAGAGCCTGGAGTGTATTTCATGAATGATTTCAAACTGAATGCTTTACAGGCTGCAGCTGTCACATAAGCAGGAAAATGTCATATATCCCTCACAAAGGCACAACGTAGTGGGAAAGAGGTTTCTTTCTTGATAGTGAAGCAGCAGACTAGTTMTTCGTCTTCTACTTGTTCATGTTGGCCACTGGATTTCCCAAGCATGAAAGGGACATGCAGCAAAACCAGTTCCATGTAACTATTCCAACAGAGCCACAAGAGCCATTACAGAGCTAAAATGAAAACTCTGGCAGTTCTGTGGTCCCCGTGGGTGCCCAGTGTCCAGGTAGACCCTTATGCCCTCTGAGGTAGCAGGTCATGGCCTACACAGCTAGCACCAGGCAAAAGACTTGGATCTCACACACAGGGTACACATTCATGACAGAAATGGTATCCCTGTATGTGGTAAGGAAAGAAAAAAGTTCATGCATCAGCACAATGGGGTAGAATATAGTTTCATCAGGTTTAAAGCACTCTTCCAAACATGCTCCTTGTAGGACATATATTCTTAGCCTCTCAGAACCAGCACTCTCATCTGTATTATCTCTGCTTGGTCCATGTTTTATTTGACAACAGTCCAGATYGGACTTTTCGTGTCTTGGATATAGTGAAAGCACAATTTTCCATACATCTTTGTTGCCTCTTATGTGTATGTATTCTAGTGGTACATTTTTTTTCCCCTCTCAGGAACATTTYAATTTGCACTTGTTTCCCATCTGTGGTCCACTATAACTACGATGTTATAATATGCAAAAATTTTATCTACACGGAGAATACTGCAAACTCAGTACCCCATATCTTTATAATTCCTCTAATTTTTGTGGCTCCTGCAAATTTCATAAGCTACTCTCTAGCCATTTATTCAGGTCATTAATAAAAACACAAACAACATCAGATCCAGCACAGAACCCCTAAGATGTTCAATAAGCATTCACTTTGACAAGAAACGCCCCGAAAACTTCCTCTGTACATGTCTCCATATACTTTAGGACATTTCCAACAATTGAAATAAAGTTACAGGTTTTACATATTCCTCACTTTTTCCAATTTTTAGAATTATATTTTCATTTTTTTCAGCCTTTGGGTAGTTTCTCTTTCCTACAAAAATACCTGCAGGTAACTTAGAGGCTCKGAGAGTTTACAAACCAGCCCTTTGAGTACCAAAGACAAAGTTCAGTAGCAGCCCAGCTGACAGGAAAACATCTAAATTATACACATACATGCAACTTGTTCCCTATTCTCTCATTGGTACTTGTATTAGTCACCTTATTGCAGTTCACCTTCTTACTGAAATCTGACACATTAAGCTATAAAAAAACCCCACAAGCCTYTTCATTGTCACCCACCAATAACCTTTTCTCTCTTGAATAGTTTCCCCGATTTATATGCTTG